GTGAATTGTAGAAATCTAGGTGGTGTGTATATGGGTGGTCACTGTACTATTCTTTCAACTTTTAAAAATATATTTGAACATTTTCATAGCAAAATTTTGGAGAAAGTATTAACCTAATTGAATAGTACAAATGTACAGGTATTACAAAATAAATCGTAGGGGCACCTGGGTAGCTCAGCTGGTTAATCTCTGACTTCAGCTCAGGTCAAGATCTCATGGTTTGTGAGTTTGGGCCCTGAATTCCTCTCTACTGTCAGTACAGAGCCTGCTTCAGATCCTCTGTCTCCCTCTCTCTCTGTCCCTCCTCCGCTCTTGCTCTCTTCAAAAAATAAACATTTTAAAAAAAGAAAAGAAAAGAATAAAAATAAATTGTAAAATTATTTCTTTTTTTATAAAATTACAATTAGGACACATGCTAAGTGTGTGAATGTAGTTTTATTATTAAAACAATCAAATGTCAAAGGATCCATGGTTTGAAAGAGAATAATTCATGTTGGTATACACAATTATAAATGTTGCTGGATTATGATTATAACTGAAAAAATATATATATCATGGCGATTCTTATTCTGTGAGTTATTTATGCCCTTTACATCGTTTTACCTTAAGAGGTACTCTGGAATTTTGTGGAGTGCTTAACCAAAAATACAGAGCACTCTACTTCATCTCATATGAATTTCCTACCTTGTTTGTTAAACAGGGAATAGGTATGTGTAGTCTGAAAGGGCACCCAGGTAACCTTAATACTGACTGAATCTGTAACTGCTTTATAATCTGACCTCCTCCTAGCCCAGGAGCAAGGCAATCCTGAGTCAGAAGTGCTGAGAAAGCACAGGAATGAGGTATAGGTTAGAGGAGTTAGATAACTTAGTTTGGAGTTAGATAACTTAGTTTGGAGTTAGGTGTGGAAATAAAAGTTTAAAAAAAGCTTCAGGAAAGTGGGAAAAGAACAGACAATGGGGTAAGGAAGAGCTGGGCCAGGGCAGCAACCGGCAAAGAGGTGGAGGCAAACAGAGAGATTAGAGAGGGGTTTATTAGTAATTCTTCACAACAGGAGAGAGGAAAAACTATGTTTACACTGGGAAGGGTGGAGTGTTTATGAAGAGAAGTACTATACTTTGGGAGAGGCAAGTGACAAGAAAAGAAAATACTAAAAGTAGAAAACATGCCTGGAGTTTATAGGGCTGAAAGGTTGCTTGTATGTTAGAAAGGGTTAAGGTGGGGTTTATGGCTGAGAGTATTCAGGGGAAACAATGGACTCAGAGAGAATGAGCAGGCTACCCCTGGCCCCAGAGAAGGAAGAGTCTAATTGCACTGTCTAGTACTTCCAGAACAGTGTCAAATGATGGTGGTGATAATAAGCATTTTTCTACTGTTCTTGGTTTAAATGGGAATGCCAGGTATAGCAAGATATTGACTTTTGGTTTGAGACAGATATCTTTTTTCTTTTCTTTTCTTTTCTTTTCTTTTCTTTTCTTTTCTTTTCTTTTCTTTTTTTTCTTTTCTTTTCTTTTCTTTTCTTGTTGAGAGAGAGAGAGAGTGAGAGACAGAGTGAGAGAGCACAATCACTGGAGAGAGTGGGGAGGTGAGGGGCAGAGGGGAAAAAGGAGAGAATCCTAAGCAGGCTTCACACCCAGTGCAGAGGAGCCCCACTTGGGGCTTGATCTCAGGACAATGAGATCATGACCTGAGCTGAAAACAAGAGTTGGACGCTTAACCAACTGAGCCACCCTGGTGTCCTGAGACAAATGTCAATATAATGTTAGGTATCCTACTACTTTATTATGTAGTTATTAGGTAGATATTATTATTAATGTATTTACTTTCAGGAATGAAGTTTGAATTTTTCAGCATTAAGATGATGGATTTCTCTTTATCATCATTGCATTTCCTGCTTTTTTTTTAAACGTTTATTCATTTTTGAGAGACAGAGAGAGACAGAGTATGAGTGGGGTAGGGGCAGAGAGAGAGGGAGACACAGAATCTGAAGCAGACCCCAGGCTCTGAGCTGTCAGCACAGAGCTCAACGCTCCCACAAACTGGGAGATCATGACCTGAGCTGAAGTCAGGTCGCTCAACCGACAGAGCCACCCAGGTGCCCCTGCATTTCCTGCTTCTCCATGAACTTTATATTTCTGAGAAAAAACTTTAATTGATCATGTAATATTATTATTGTATTATTTGCCAGGTTTGATTTGCTAATAGTTTAAGATGTTTACCTATATTACCTATATTAATAAGTGAGACTGGTACAAAATTTTTGTTTTTACTGCTATCTTTGTCAGCTTTGATACCAAGTTTACACTGAATCACTAGAATAAATTGGTAAATTTTCCTTTTTCCTCTCTCTGGAAAAATTTATATAATGTAGAAATGGTCTGCTCCTTGAAGGCTTGAATGAATAGCCTGTGAAATTATCTAGCACGTTGGGGGTGGGATGGAAGGATAGATCTTTGCAAGTTTTTTTTTTTTGAGGTAATATATGTATATGGCAAAAATTTCAAATTGCACGAAAGGTCATGTAACAAATAGCCCTCTCTTAAAACAAGAAGTAGTTCTCCCACCTCTTATTGCCAGTTCTTCAGTTTTTCTCCTGAGGCAACCACTGTTACCAAGTTCTTGTGTAGCCATTAGGACATAGTCTGTGAATATTCAAGCATATGAATATACATTCCCTTCCCCTTATATTTTTACCCAGATGATAGCATACCATACAAATTGTTCTGTACCTTCCTTTTTATATATTTGATTGTTTTAAGTTTATTTTATTTATTTTGAGAGAGAGAGAGAGAAAGAGCAGGGGAGGGGCAGAGAGAGAGAGAGAGAGAGAGAGAGAGAGCATCCCAAGCAGGCTTTGAGCTAACAGCGTGTAGCCCAATGAGGGGTTCAATTTCATGAATCAAGAGTCGAATGCTCAATTGATTAAGCCACCCAGGCGCCCTGATGTTTTTTATTTCCCAAATTTTGTCCTAATGAAATTCCTTACTTCCTTTCTGAATTAATTTTGACCATTTTTCTAGGAAACTGTTTCCCCAATATTTTCTAGTTGTTTTCTTAGAGTTGTGCATTATATTGTCCTGTAATTTAGAACAACTAAAAAAAGTTCTCCATACCTATTGGCCTAAATGTTGATCTCACTTCCACCACTTACAAAGTTTCTAAGCAACTTTGGGCATGTCATGTGAATCCTGCAGCACTGTAAATTTTCATAATCTAACGGAGGGTAATGACTCTAAGTGTATTAAAGAATATTGAGTTTTGCAATTTTGCAAGATATATTTGCAACTAAAAACACAAAATATTTCCCATTTTAAGAGATTGTCCCTATTCCACCCCCTTTCTCTACAACTTTTCCCTCTGACTTTTTTCTTCAGAGCATATTACCTCCTACTCAACCTGTACCCTATTAAATGAGGAAAACTGACATTTTATTCTGAAATAATGCCTGGGTAACCTGAACACGGACTACCTCAACAATTATTTTATGGTCTGTCCTCTTCTTAACCCAGTGCCAAGGCCATCTTGAAACCACTCGCAAAGAGGCAAAGGGATGAGGTTAAATGGCAGAAGTTGGAGCGTGGGGTTAGGGAAAGATAACTAATTTTGGAGGTTTTGCAGGAAATTGAAGAGATTATCAATGGCCACAAGAAATTGGCCGGAAATCTGGACTGGGGTCGAAGTGGGAGGGGTACAATGGGTGACGAAGTTGGGGCTGGGAAATTGTACGTATTCTCTTGTAATAAAAATGTTTCATATTCACTAGCCTCAGTTTTAATATCATTACCATCAGTACCTGAGCAAATATTGAAAATATGCTTGATCTGAAGAATTATGACAGTATTTAAACAAAACAAAACCATACAACTAGCACTGTACACACACCACCACCACCATCACCACCACCATTCATTTGGGAATTTCGTCCCACCACATTCCACATTCTTTCTCCTTAAATTTAAGACTTGATGCCTTTCTGGATTGCTTACCCAAAAATATAAAGCACTTCATTTCACACCCATCCCTACCCTGTTTGTTAAAAGCGGAAACCTGGTATTCCCATCCCCCAAAACACTTAGGTCTACAGCGTGCATCAAAAATGTATTACCTGATCTCATTATAACCTGGGGCCGTGGTAAAGTGGAGTGAGAAACACTGAGAAACACCCAGAATTAAGTAGGGAAAAAGAGGTTGGCACATGTAGGGTTTCTTTCTTTCTTTCTTTCTTTTTCTTTTTTGTAAAGTTATTCTTACAATAATCACTCTCTTTAAGACCTTAAACTTTTTTAGTATTTGCTCCAAATCGCTTAGCAATTTTGGAAGTTGTACTGGTATTAGCATTTTGGCCAATGTATATAGAGAAGCTGGCTTCGCCCCTCCTCCAAGGGGGAAAAGGAGAAAAGTCATCTTGTATAGTTTATAATAAAGTTGAGAAGTGGTAACTGGCTGGTAGCGGGGCGGGGCAGGACGGGGGATCGCAAGGAATCATTCAGGCAGGGACCAGGGCAGAGGGAGCAGTTGGTCTGGAGGGCTTGACTGCTTTATTCGGCAGCACGGAAGCTTGAAATTTCTCTGCGGCCCCGGGGAGGCGCAGGCTTTTTCCGTGAAGTGCTGGCTCCGGAAACCGGCAACAAGAGCAAGAAACGGGTGCGTGGGTGCGGTGGATTAAAACACACACACACACACACACACACACACACACACACACACACACACACACACAGAGGCAGCAGTGAAGCGATCTGAAGATCGGCGTTGAGTATTAAAGAGGGAGTGGCCTCAAAGAAGCGAGGCGAGGCGCGGCAACTCAGACCTCTCGCCAACAGCTGGAGGACAGGGAGAGCAAAGGGCAGGCGCCGCCTGCAGTTGCCAGACGCTTTACGGTGACGCGACAGCAGTGCGTTGACGCGCTGATGAGCCGCGGCCTCCACGTCTTAGGTTCCGCAAAGGCCTGTGGGAGCGACCCGGGAGAAGGAGGGCCAAGATGGCGAAAGCGGCAGAGTCTTCGGGAGAGCCGGGGACAACGTCGCCCAGGCCCCTGGTGAGCTTGGGTTCTGCGACGAAAGGGACTGAGGGTGAGGCAGAGCGCCCTTATGGAAGTCGGGTGACGGGCTCCTGGCCTGAGAAGGCCGGAACTCCTTTCTCCCGGTAGGCCTGTCCTGTATCCTATGCCAGAACCAGCCCCAACACTGCACCTGCTCTTTGGGCTCACCGCTTTCCCCCTGCTCTCCTCGTTCCTTCAACGCCTTCTTGGGAAACTCCAATTCACTTTGCTTTCCCATACTCTGAGGGAAAGTCCTCATCCCGTACATTGTGTTAAATGCCAAGCTTTAGGTGATTTCTTAAGTATCTTAAGAATTTAGATGTTTCTGCTGTCCTTCATGTTATCAAGAACCTGTTCTTGTTGGAGTAGCATTCTTGGATTAATGATATTACTTCCCATAGAACGTTATAACTTGATTATTGATTTGTTCAGTGACCCCAGTAGTTTTGGTTTCATCCCTGCCCTCACTGTTGCAGCTCCTTGTAATTCTCTTCGTGATGCTGTCTTGCTCCTGTTGTTACAGGGGATATGATTTCTATTGCAAGTACAAGCCCAAAGCCTGGACAGGTATTTAAGAACAGAGGTTTTGGAGTTAAACTTACCTGGACTGGAATCACCCCACTCTGCCTCCTATGAGAGTTTGGGCAAATTATTTCATGGAGAATGTTTTCTTCATCTGTAAAATGGATATATAAATACGTGCCTCAGAGAGCTTTTAGGAAGATGAAATGATATGATTTATGTGAAGTGCAGAACACAATCAGCGTCATGAACTAAGGATTGTAATTAATTCAGCATTCTGTCCCAAGATCCCTCTTCCAAACAGTGTTTAGTTCTATAGCAGTTGTTTAATGGTACATCCCTTTCCTCTGTTTTAAATTGGCAACTTAACATAGCAGAGGACTGAACTGGGAGTCAGGTGAAATTGCTTCTAGTCCTGCTTACTTACTTACTGACTACTTACTTATTACTTACTGATAAGTTACTTACTACTACTTACTAGCACTATTTGTTCATCTCTTCATTCATTCAACAAATATTTCTTGAACATCTGTGTCCCAGGCACTCCTTTAGGCACTGGGGATACAGCAATGAAAGAGAGTTGGGTAGGTCCAAGTTCTCATGGAACAATTGTGACCTTGAGGAAATCACTCTCAACACCAGTTTCCTCATTTGGAAAATGAGGATAGTAACTCATCACAGAACCAATGAGAGTACTAATGAGCTAATATACACACAGTGCCTGGTATGACATAGTTTACAGGTGTTTAGCTGTTTTTGTAGTTGCTGTTCCACCTCTCTTATGAAGTTCTCCACAATTAAATTTAGTGGTTCTGGTCATTCATTGCTCAATGTCTGATCGACTTCTATTCAGTAATGCTTATTTAAGTCCCACAATGTGCAGTGCACTATGCTATCTGCTTTAGGAAATACAGATGGCCTGCCCTTTTTGGTACTTACAGCCTAGTAAGACAAATGTACGATGCTAAGATAAGATAGTAAATCAGAGAGAGTTACATATAAAATATTAACAAAATTTAAAGGAAGATGCTATCATGTCTAGTTGGGATGACAAAGCAAGCTACATAGTAGAAGTTATATTCGAGAGGGACTCAAAGGATGGGTAGGATTTGAAATTTCAGGTTACCATAAGAGCTATCAGTGATTGAGAACCTGCTATATGCCAGGATTGTATTAGACATCCTCCACACACTTTGTAAACTTCACAGCAACCATTTCAGTTAGTTGGTTTTTAAACTGTTTTACTTGCAGATGAGGAGATGAGACTCAGAGAAGTTTGACGATTTCCCTAGGGTCTTAGAACCAGTTAGTGGCCAGGCCTGAAATTTGAAGCTGGGTCTGCGTCTAAAGCCCAGATTATTTCCATTAATACTGCACAACCTCTCATGGGCAAATGTACAGAAGTTGGGAATTGTTAATGTGTTTATAGGATAACAGATCATTTTGGCTAAAGCACAGGGAAGTATTAGAAGGTAAGCCTTAAAAAATAAGGCTACTGAATTAGGGAGGCAGTATGGAACAGTGGTTAGGAATTTGTGTGCTGGGGTCAAATTGCCTAGATTTGATTTTAAGCTCTGTCATTTAATCTCCCCATGCCTCAGTTTCCCCATCTGTAGAATGAAGATACAGCAATAATATGCTCATAGGGTTGTTAGGTGGATTCAATGAGTTAACACATGTAAAACACTTGGTAGTGTGCCTGGCACGTAATAATCATGCAATAAGTATTATTTATTCTTATTGACTACTGAGCTTGGAGGTGTAATAGCCAATGAGGTGCCAGTGGAAAGTTTTAAGAAGGGAAGGGCTTAAAATCATGACTTTGACAAAATAATAGAAGGGTTACCATGAAGAATGTCTGGAATCTACACCAGTGAAACCAGTAGTTCTAAGAACAGGTGATTGCTACCTGGACTATAGCAGTGGTGGGGTCATGAAGTTTAGAGAGGCAGGATCCTTAAGGGTTTGTAGTGCTAGGGAGAATGTGTCTTACATCAGTGTTTGTCAAACTTTAATGTGCATAGCAACCATCTGGGGAATTTTTTTAGATTGCAGATTTTGATTTGGTAGGTCTGAGATGAGACCTGAGATTCTGCATTTCTAACATGCTTCCAGGTGCTGATGCTGCTGTGAGTCCCAGTACCACATGTTATTTGCTGTCTTGGTCCAGCCTCAGCCTTAGGTAGTTCATGTGTCCCTGTTTCTCCCCCAGCTGAAGGACACTGTAGTGGTCTGGCTTCAGGATGTTTTCCTATCCCTCTCCCAGAAGTAGAGACATTTGTCTTTCCCTTTCACCATACACAGTAGGCCTTCACCTGTGCCCTGGAGACAGCAGGGTTCTCTTAGTAGCTCTAAGGCTCCTGTAGGGGAGAAGGGCCTGAGCAGGGGCTCTTTGCTTTTCTCAGAATTGGCAGCTGCACCCTTCCCCAGCACCAAGACCCAGTGGAAGTCTCTGGTGTAGAGCCCACAAGTGGGTGTGAACTCCCCTCGTGTCTGATGCATCCAGGGGCCCTGTACTCACATACTAGTCCATGCTTGGCCTTTGGCAATTCCTTTTAAGTTTTCGCTGAATTCTTAAGCATCTGTGTGATATCTAGTGTCATTGTCTTATATTTTGCTGCACTGTGCAATGTAGTGCTCATGTCCCATCTTTTCCTGGAAGCATCTCTCCTTCCTTAGATTTTATTCAGGCTACTTGGTTGCCCTACAACCTCAACTGTCTGATGGGTTTAAGAAAAGTTATGATTTTGTAGTTTAACTTTTCCTCATTGTTCTAGTGGTAGGGGTATTCTTTCTAGCTTTCTGTATCCTACTCACAAGTCAAATTCAGTGTTCTAAAGTCACTTGAAATAGTTGGCTCTCTGTGTAGTTGTGCATTTAATTCAACGTACAGTAGATTCATTTGTTTCATTTTTCTTTCAGTTTTAAGGACTTCTTTTAAATTTTTTTTAAAAATTGTAAACGTTTATTTATTTTTGAGAGAGACGGAGACAGAGAGACAAAGTGCAAGCAGGGGAGGGGCAGAGAGAGAGGGAGACACAGAATCTGAAGCAGGCTCCAGGTTCTGAGCTGTCAGCACAGAGCCCAACACAGGGTTCGAACTCACGAGCTGTGAGCCAAAGTCAGATGCTTAACAGACTGAGCTACCCAGGTGCCCCGGACTTCTAAATTTTAATTTTGTTTCATGATTATGTGAACTATTTATATGACTTTAAGTCCTATATATAGAACTACTTGTATTTGCAGAAGCCTAGCTTCTCTATCTCCTCTACCTTATTCTCTCCTTTCCTTAATGGAAGCCTCTTTTAAAAAAAATCATATGACTTATTTCTTACATTATGTATGACTTAAATTATACTGCATGATTTATTTCTTATACATTTCTTACATTTAAAAGTAACATTCACATGTGAGTGTGTGTGCGTGTGTGTGCATTGAGTGCCTTTATAGCCTCTACTTTCTTAAATGAATGGCAGCATATTATAAAAACTTTTCTCCACATTGTTTTTTTTATTCAATACTCCATAAATAGTTCTTTAGAGATACTCCCATTCCTTCTTATAGATGCACAGTGCTCCATTATGTGAATACATCATACTTTGTTCAGCTAGTTCTATGTTGATGGATGTTTAGGTTATTCTCAGGTTTTTGCTTTTACAAGTAACGTTATAATAAACAGCTTTGTGTATATGTTCCTTTTGGAACAATGGAGTAGTATTTTTGCTACTCTATCTTTAGACTCCTAAAAGTGGCATTGCTTTCAGTGGATGATCCATATATAAATTTGCTAGGTATGGCCAGATTCATCTTCAGTAGAATGTAGTACTACTTTGCATTTCCACCAGAAGCGTGTGAATACTCTTTCCCCACAGTTTCACCTGCAGAGTATGTTGTCAAACTGTTGGATTTTTGCCAGTCTTAACACGTAAACATTTTTATTACAAGCAGTTTTAATTTGCATTTCTTTTTTTTTTACTTTTTAATTATGTATTTATTTTTGAAAGAGAGAGAGCAAGTGGGGGAGGGGCAGAGAGAGAGGGAAACACAGAATCCAAAGCAGGCTCCAGGCTCTGAGCTGTCAGCACAGAGCCCGACGCAAGGCTCAAACTCGCAGACTGTGAAATCATGACGGGAGCCGAAGTCGGACACTCAACCGACTGAGCTACCCAGGCACCCCTAATTTTCGTTTCTTATTAAAAAGTGTGTTTGAGAAT